ACCAAATATATATGATTCTTTCTTGTTGCAAAAAATGAACCATTTTTGTAGTAAAGATCTATATGCAGTTGCGTAAGAATTATGCCTTATTTATCAGACTACATACTTTTATGGATTAGAAACTGATTATTGACCTTGTTTTCAGTATTTAATAATCTTTTACAGGCTTACCTCAAAAAATCATTCATGTGTTGGATTTATAAGTTGAATTTTATGAGAAATTTATAGTCTATTCATGTAACACAGTTGCAAGACCATATTGAACGTTACTGATGATTCTTCATCCTTGGGTATTTTCTTATTATGCCATTTTGGGTTTATGGTGTGTTAATTATGATAGATGTCAAACACAATTCATGATGTTGAAGAAGTGGTGGAGATTACTCCTTCACAAGGGGGTGGGAACTTGGCCTGAAGAGACAGAGCTTTATTTCATAGATCTGATGGAGGAAGAAGTAAAAAAGGAAAATAGGCACACTACTACCTTTACTAGGACGGCTTGGAATTTCATTGATGATGAGTTGAAAAAGAAGACTAGGAAGGAATACACACATGAACAACTATAAAACAAATTTAATCAACTAAGGCAACGATGGAGAAATTTAAAAAGTTTATTGACAGACACAACAGTTAGATATACTGTTAGCACCGGTCAAATATCCGTAACAGAGGATGCGTGAAAAAATTTATATGATGTATTTAATCAATTTTTTTTTACTTCAATAGTTTGGGTTCATTGTTTCCTTTTTTGTTTTTGTTTTGGTTCATAGACTCACAAGTATGCAAGATATTTTAGGAGGAAATGGTGCAAAGGTTATGACAAGTTGTGCATTTTTTTTGGTGATACAAGTGCTACTGGTGATAATGCTCATCTATCTACCAAAAGTCCTACTATTAGTGATGATGATAAAGAAGAAGATGAAGAGCAAGAGGAGGAGGAAGTAGAGTCATCTCAGGCAAATAAAAAGTCAAAAGTAGGGGGAAATGTGTACCCTTGAGACAACAAGTCCAATTACTAATGGTGGATGCTTTTACCTTGATAGGCGAAAATAATAGAAAGAAAATGGAATGGATGGAGAGGAAAATGAGTTCCACTTCTGGGCATAGTAATGTTAGTGATGCTATTGGTCCTCCTGGAAGTTCAAATGAGATTGTGAATTGTGTTACCGTGCTTAGTGCTCTTGAAGGGATTGATTCAACACAATTTTTTTTAAAAGCTACGCGTGTCTTACATGATGATACGGTATGGAGAACAATGTTCCTAAAGATGCCCGTTGAGAGAAAGGAGTGTGTATTAAGTCTTCCATGATGCGTGCTTGTATTAGGTCAAGGATCTTTCTATTTGTCTCTTGTTATGTTGTTTGTAGTAGTTTAAGGATCCTTCTATTTATCACTCGTTATCAAGTTTGCATTAGCTTGGGAAACTTTCTAGTTGTCTTTAATTATGTTATTTGTACTATGTTGAGGACATTTGTATGTTCTTATTTTATGTTGTTTGTATTAGGTTGAGGACATATGTATTTATTTGTAGCTTATCTATGGTTGTTTGTGATGATGAGATATTTGCATTGTTTATGTTTATTTATTTCTATGACAAAATGTGATGTAGAATTAATTATTTTTAGTGTCCTAATTGATTATCTTTAGTGATGTTGAAATATTTTACATTTTTTGTGATGTTGAGATATTTTGCATTGTTTATATTTATTTGTATTTTATCTACGATTGATTATCTTTAGTGTCCTATCTATGCTTGTGACGGCTGATGAATTGATTATTTATTTCTAATTGTATATATTTGTTTATAGGTATGGATACCGATATTGATGTATGTGATTATCAATCATCATCACCTTCTGATTCCGATTCTAAATCAGATGAAGAGCAATTTGAAGTGATGTTGGCCATTTATGCAAGTATGGAGTGTAGTGGATTTTGGAATGAGAAGGCTCGACTACAAATAATCTCAAAATTAAAAGGACACGATAGGGTGGTTGAGGTCCTACGCGGACATCCAACTACTTGATTTGACCTTTTTTGGATGAAATAGAAGCATTTTTTTCCCTTTGTGAAGAGTTAAAGAGAATTGAAAAATTAAAACATTCTAGAAATGTAACGGTTCAGGAACAAGTAGCAATATTTTTATTCGTGCTCTCTCATAATGAACGACAACGGATAGTTGCAGATCATTTCAACATTCATTATAGACTATCTCTAACTATTTTAAGAAAGACCTCTATGCAATTTGTTCTCTTAGCAAATATGTGATTACACCTCCATCATATGATGAAGTTCCATTGGAGATATCAACTAAAACAAAGTATTATCCATTCTTCAAGGTATGCATATATTTCTTCTTTATAAATTCATTATATGTATTATTGCTTTATCATTGATATAAATGTTAATATATACTATTTATTTTTGCATTATAGAATTGCGTAGGGGAAATAGACGATACTCATGTTTCAACTTGTGTATCTCTAGATGATCAAATCCCATATCGTGGAAAGAAAATTGTACTAACGATGAATATGATGTGTGCTTGTTCTTTTGATATGCCGTTCATATTTGTTATGAGTGGTTGGGAAGGTAGTGAAAATGATTCAAGAATTTTTTTAGAATGCATTAGCAATCCACAAAATAAATTTTCAATGCCTCCTACAAGGAAGTACTATTTGGTCGATTCAGGGTATACCAACATGCCGAGTTTTCTTTCACCATATCGTGAAGAGTGCTATCATTTGCATGAGTATAGAGGGCAAATTATTCCTCCACAAGGTTCCAAAGAGAGATTCAAATACTTTCATTATTCATTAAGAAATGTTATAGAGCGATGCTTTGAGGTGTTGAAGAAACAATTTCCGATTTTGAGAGATGCCTCCATATAGTCTGAAAAAACAAAAGTACATTGCATTGGCATGTTGTGTTATCCATAATGCGATTTGAATGTATGATTCTGGAGATCCATTATTTTTTGAATATGAAAATGAAGATTTGGAGCTCGAGGAAGATGACAGGCAAGCACAAGAACAACATACTATTCCAGTTAATGTTAGCCCGGAGCACCTTCGTCAGATGGCAGAATTTCGAGATCGTTTGGCCCAAAGGATGTGGACTACCCATAATGGATGATAAAATTGTGTACCATATATTGAGAACTTAATGCATGTTATATTATTAATATGCTTTGAAATTGATCTATGCATCATTAATATTATTGAACTAAGTTAAACTGTCTTTCTTCTCTTTTTTAGATCAATAATGAAAGGGAAATAATCATGCGGGTGATGGCGACACCGGTGGTGCATCGACTAGTTGTCGCCGGTGACATCGTCGGCACTGGGTGGTTTTGCCGGTAATGGTGGTGATGTTGATAATGGTGGTGGCGGGAATGACATAGGATGTGTTGATAATGATTGCAACTAGTGTTTGAGGATAAAAACACAATGGTGTTTTCAAAACACTTTAGAAAAAAAAAACACAATACCAATATATTTTTCTAAAAGAACACAACAACAAAAACACTTTGGAAGCCAAACAAAGTGGTGTGTTTGAGAGTTTACTAAGGGAAGGGAAGGAAAGGTAAACAACGGGAAGGGAATGGAAGGGAAGGGATGAGAATTATAATATGTTGTTTGGGAGTTGAGTAAGGTGAATGAAGGTAAAAGGAAGTAAATATATGTAAATTTACATAAATGACTTTATACTAATAACACATCAGCCCTTTTATTTGGTAAATTTACATAAATGACTTTATACTAATAACACATCAGCCCTTTTATTTGTTTTGATGAGGGTAAGAATGTCATTACACCCCTTTACATACTAATAACACATCAGCCCTTTTATTTGTTTTGATGAGGGTAAGAATGTCATTACACCCCTTTACCCTACTTTACCCTCCTCTTCCACCCAAATCGGTGGAGGGAAGAAAACCAAGCAATTTTACCCTCCGTTTCCCTTCCTTCCTCCTCTCTACCCTCCTTAAAAAAACTCCCAAACAAGATGAAAGCTGTATTTCTCTTCCCCTCCCCCTTTCTACCCTCCATCCAAATAGGGCATTAAAGTTTCGACTATTGTTCTGCAAGCTCAAACCTACGCCTCTAAAATATGTTTTTCTAAAAACACTTTAGAAGAAAAAACACAACACCAATATATTTTTCTAAAAAAACACAACAACAAAAACACATTGGAAGCCAAACAAAAAAGTTTCGACTACTGTTCCGCAAGCTCAAACCTACGCCACTAAAATATGTAGACCACCAGATGATGGTCCGGCCCACTTACTTGTTGAACCCTCCAAGAGTCAGAGAGTCGGGACACCATCTTGCCTTGGATCTAGTTATTCATCGCCGTCGAATAAAAAACCCTAGCAGAAAACCCCTTATTACAAAAAAAAAAAAAAAAAAAAAAAAAAAAAACAAGAAGGAAAACCTAGGGTTCTTGCTCCCCCACAAATTCCTCCATGGATCTTCTCCGAAGTTACTCCCATCTCAGCGACGACGACGAAGAGGAAGACGAAGCCGAACCCCATCCGGATAAAGCCCATCACAATCTCCTCCGTGCCAAGTCCGCGGCCCCCCGCGTTCTACGACCGACCCTAACCCTAGCGCCGCCGTCAAATCCGACCGCCAGGCTCGCCGGCCCTATCGACCCCTCGCAGCACTCATCTCCTGCCTTCAACCCCACCTACGCACCAGGTCTGCGCCCCGCTCCAGCGGCCGGGCCATGCCTCTCGCCGTATAGGCGGCGTCCCCAGGATGCGTCAGTCAACAAGGCTCGCTTCGTCGAGGACGGCCTCCATCCAAACCTTTCTCTTCGACGAGCAGTACAAAAACCTTGCCAAATGTCGGTTATGCCTGCCGACCCTTCCGCCTCCTACGCGGCGGAGTCCGATTGTTCTGCCGTGCGAGAAAGCGCTTGCGGTTTATAACGTCCCTCAGCAGGGCAGAAGCGGAGGAGGCTTCGAGAAAGGCGCGCGGACCAGGAGGGTGGTGATGGCGTTTTCAACTCGATGCCCCGAAGCCGAGTAACCGGCACTAGAGTGGGTTTTGAAGAACAAGAAGAGCCCTTGGTCGGGTAAGAAGGAGGTGGCCCAGGGAGAGCTCACCGAAGAACAGAAGAAGTACGCGGAAGAGTATGCTCAGAAGAAGGCCGACAAGGAGAAAGATGGGAAGGGAGAGAGGCCGGAGCACAACGACAAGAGTACATTTCATGGGAAAGAGCAAGTTGATTATCAGGGTAGATCTTGGATCCAGCCGCCGAAAGATGCCAAACCCGCGAATGATCACTGTTACATCCCGAAGAGGAAGATTCACACTTGGAGTGGGCATGAAAAAGCTGTGTCCGCTATTAGATTCTTCCCTCGCCATGGGCATTTGTTACTGTCGGCGGGCATGGACAATAAGGTGAAGATTTGGGATGTGTTCAATTCAGGCAAGTGTATGAGGACTTATATGGGTCATTCGAAGGCGGTTAGGGATATTTCGTTTTCGAATGATGGGTCGAGGTTCTTGAGTGCTGGATACGATAAGAACATCAAGCTCTGGGATACGGAGACGGGGAAGGTGCTATCGACTTTCTCTACTGGGAAGATTCCTTATGTTGTGAAGCTTAACCCGGATGAAGATAAGCAGCACATTCTTCTGGCCGGAATGAGTGATAAGAAGATTGTTCAGTGGGATATGAATTCAGGAGAGATCACTCAGGAGTATGATCAGCATCTTGGTGCAGTGAATACCATTACATTTGTCGATAACAATAGGAGGTTTGTGACTTCCAGCGATGATAAGTCGCTTCGTGTGTGGGAGTTTGGGATTCCTGTGGTGATCAAGTACATCAGTGAACCTCACATGCATTCTATGCCTTCGATCTCTCTTCATCCTAATTCAAATTGGTTAGCTGCTCAGAGCTTGGACAATCAGATCCTTATTTATAGTACAAAGGAGAGGTTTCAGCTTAACAAGAAGAAGAGATTTGCGGGGCATATTGTGGCTGGTTATGCTTGTCAGGTGAATTTCTCACCTGATGGAAGGTTTGTGATGTCGGGGGATGGGGAAGGCAAGTGCTGGTTTTGGGATTGGAAGAGCTGTAAGGTTTTTAAGACTTTGAAATGCCATAATGGGGTGTGCATTGGATGTGAGTGGCATCCATTGGAGCAAAGCAAGGTTGCGACTTGTGGATGGGATGGCATGATCCATTACTGGTAAGCTCTCTTTCAGACATTTTATTATGAGTTCCATTTGCAACTTGCTACTTGTTTGTATATTCCTTTCACGTTTTTTTCCTTCTAAAATTAGTTGCATCATTGATGTGAGTTCTATTTGCATGCTATTATCTTCTCTCAATGCTAAAGTTAATTTGTGTAGTATTCCACATTATGACCTTTGAGGTATGACAGGGCTTGTTATTGTGGTGGCTTGTAAGGCTATTCTGCTATATGCTAGTAACTCCCATTTTGTACTTTATTTGCTAAGTGTAATCGTTACCTCATTTTATTATATTCATACATGTCATTTAGTAGATAGGGGATAAATGCCTTGAAAGTGAGGAGGTTAAAGGAAACTGACTCGCTGCTATAATCTCAAATATTTTGGAATTCTGCAGACATGAATTTCAATTGGAAAATAATATTAGAATTAGACATTGCTTGTCATGTGCTGAAATCTTGCAGTCTATGTGGGCAATTCATACGGACAGCTTAGTGTGAACTTCTAGATAGGCATGTCAAGATGAAAATAGCATCTGGACTTGATACGAGAACATATACAGATTAAAAGATTTCATTCCATAAAAATAAGATGATGCTAAATTGAACATGTGAGTAGCTTATATAAATTGAAATGAACTCATTAAGTATATTATATTATCTGCATAAAATGTATATATATACCATGACCAAATCATCTGATGTTGTTCCTCTCTCTCTCTCTCTCTCTCTCTCTCTCTCTCTCTCTTGTTTTTGTTTTTTGTGTTGGGTGTGGAGATATGGAACAATCATAAGGAAAACGAGCATGACATACTTCTGTAAACTGCTGATCAGGATTAAACAAGTAAACCAGCTTGATGCTGAAGAAAATATGTTTGATCAGTTGACAATGGTTAAATATCTAAACTTGGGTTTGAAAATGAACCTCTGCAAGCATGATGTGGAGGGTGAGAGAAGAGTTTGCATAGTTGATTGGAAAAATTGTTCTTGACTGCTAGGACCAAGGGTCCAGCTTCGACATTCAGACAGAGCTCCTTGAGGATTGAAATGCGGGGAATAGGTTTGAGGATGAGAAAAGAGGAGTAATGATTTTTTGGGCATAAGGCTTGGGAGAAGGGGAGGGGATTTTAGAGATAATCATAGCTGGTTTGGGAGATCAAAGGAGCAGTTAATGGAGAAAAGGATGAAGTGAGGGAATATTGAGGAGATGGTTCCGAGAGAAGAGTAGTTCTTTAGATTAAGTTTATATATGATTTGAGCTGACATTGGCATATAAGCAAGAACCTTATGGTTTTGAATAATTGATCAAATCTAATACATAGTAAAAAAATTCAAAATAGGCAAAGCGCTTTCATCATAGTCATAGTTTTCAAGAAAGCTACATATGTATAACAAGCATGCATTTTATTAGATTATTGCTTTTTTACTTATTAAGTTAGACTGACAACCGGCTCATGTTTTCTGACCATCCCTCAGCCTCCCCTCTCTCTCCTATATGTGCACATGCACAAACATAATGGGAGAGGGAACGGGAAAGGTCATGATATTATGGGAAGCTCTCTTGAATTAGAAAATTCATGGAAAGGCTTCCTTTTCCATGCTTTGCCACGTGATTCATTTTCACACGCTTTGCGAATGCAATTTTGACTCATCCCATTTGTTTTGTTGATGTGATTCTTGTACAGAGTGAGGGAGATTGTGGTATTCTTAAGATATTTGCTTCTTCCCTTATTAAAAGTCTATATTTGCTCCATACAGAACTAAACCACGTAAAATAGACCTTTTGTCATATTCACTTCTCCCCTTATTAAAAGTCTATAGTTGCTCCATACAGAACTAAACCAAGTAAAATAGACCTTTTGTCACCCCAAAACTATAAGGAAAACAAGAGCAAAAGGAAGAAGGAAACCTATCATCAAGGATTGTGTTCTATTAGATATTATCCCTTAGTCTTACATGCGATCTTAAGACTATGAGCCCAATTTATGTTTTCTTTTCTAAGCTATCAATTACATAAAATTACTCCTAATCTCATTTTTTTGTCCAGTAGTTTGTTTTATTATTATTACTAGTTCTTGTGCACGTGCAAATATCAAAATTATTATTTTTATTTTCTTACTATAAAATAAGTTGGATTCATTTTGAGTTAAAATCTATAAACATGGATTATTACATTTGCCATAAGTTATATTTCAACATTTTAAAAAAAATTATGAAATAGATGATTAATTTTGAAAATTTATTGGGGTCAGGAATAAACAACTAACAAGTTTGCAGTGGAAGATAGGGGAACGTAGTATATTCTTAAGAATTATTAACCTTTATTTAGTTTGTTTATAATGATAGGATCTCATTATTAACTAACTACAAGACCTAGTGCATTATTTTTTTTTGTTGGACGTTCATGGCAGGCAGAGGACCCATGTGAGTCCTCATCACAATGAATGTTATACAATTTAAGTACAAAAGAAAAAAAAGGGTTAATCAATGGTGTAGTTGGTGAGGGGAAACTTTAGTAATTTAATTTGGTATGTGGATATATAATAGATGGAGATGAAGAATTGTGGTTTTGAAAATAGTGGGTGCGTGTGGGTAATTAATATGGTTTTTATTTGTGTGGTTTTCTTCGTTAATTTTCAAGATATCTGTGGTCTTGTGTATATATATATATATAGCATTGCTACTCTCTTTTGATTTTGTGGAAGAGTTTGGGTGTTAAAAAAATTAAATTATCTAAGCCCATACATGAAATTTATTTTAACCAAACACCCTTATGTAAATATTACAATTGGCATTGAGATCTAAAATATGTATGAGATTCTCTTTGATTTTTATACAAACAGTATCTATTTAAATAATAATAGTATAATTAAACTTTGTGATCTGAAAAAAAAAATCAAACATACAATATAAGTAATTACTTTAAAATAACCTAATCTAGTCTAATAAGAAGAAAATAGATGAAAGTGCTGTGAAAATTGTTGATATTTCTTGATATGAAAAAAGATCAAATATACAATATAATAATTACTTTAAAATAATCTAATCTAATAAGAAGTAAATAACAAAGGCATATACATGTAGAATGAGATGAAGTGATGCGGAAATTGTTCTAGTTTCTTGGCTTATAAACATTGGTATGCGATGTTGCATGTGAGAGGATAACAATTGTAAATATAGCTTTATTTAAATAGTAATAGTATAATTAAACTTTGAAACTAATTATGCATTACCGTGAACTACTTGAATTTTATTTGGTGAGAGATTGTCACGTTGTATCCTCATGTCACAGTCATTTGTTTTAATTTTCCTTTTTTATAATTTTCAGAATGATTTTGTCTCTTTAATTTGTTTGGTGGATTTTGCAAATACCTCGTCCATATTATGTGCATTTGTAGGTCTGTGTTGTTTCGGGGTTTGACATCTGGGAAGAACATTATTTGTCTCACTAATTTGATTGGTTTTAACATATACACGCCATTCATCTTATATATATTTGTAAATTTGGCATTTAATAATTTTATTTAGGTTTGTATTTCAATTTGAACTATATTCTTATCTTCATGCTATGTATATCCAATAAGAATTGTCAACTTACTCTTAATGGATTTGTATTTGAATTTCAAGGGTGTTTTTGTCTATCAAAAGATTTTCCCGAACTCGTGTTTTTAAAGGGAGTATGATTTTTTCCAACTCATCAAATGACCAATCTCTTCATGGCTAGAAACTTACAACACCAACAGAAGACGCTGAAACTATGAACCAATTTTTTTATCCATTAAAATTATTCATGACGTTTTTTTACATTCAGTCATAAAAATCATCTCTTATGATCCATCTATGTTCTTTACTGGCTTCTTATCTCCACACAAATCCTGACTAATTAATTAGTATTTATTTTAAAATTTTGTACTCTCTCAGACTCGATGGTCTCTAGCCCATTAGAAAAAGATGACCATTTTTCTGATTCATTCTGCAAGTGAGCTGAATTGTAGCCGACCATTGCAAATTATATTTTCAATGAAAGCATTAAATCCTTTGATATTGAGACCTGTATTTCTTCAACATGATAGTTCGTTCCACTTGTCTTTTCTCGTTGAAGCTTATGTTCACTTTATAACAAATCACTCTTTTGCTTCGTTCTTTTGCTTTTAAAAAAATTGAGCTCATGCATATCAGGTTTCAGCATGTTTATTAAATCTGCACATGGGTTCAGTACAGTAAATGATTAATGACAAAATTATGGCCTGACTTTCTTTAACTCGAGCATGACCTATCACTTAAATGTGCAAACCTCTTGTTTTCTGCAATGTTTCTCAATAGATAACAATGTTCCATTATGCCATGCTGTTCTGACTGTCCTTGTTATCTTCTTTCTTAAGTTAAAAATTGTTGGTTTTCGTTCATGCATAGTAGAGGATGAACATCACTTGAGCTTCTTTCTTAAGCTTTCCATTTGCTTAAAAATCAAGGAAGATGTATATGTAACGTGCCAGAGCCAACCAACTGAAAATGCTTTACAAGCTCTTTGAGCTCTAAAACCTTACTCAGAAATCATTTAGTGGGCTGAACTCGTTGGTCTGTTGTAAAGCTGCTGTGTTAGAATGGCATGGGACTTCACACCTTCATTTGTAAAATCATGGAAGTGAAATAAGGTTGCAATATAGCAACACTATCCACAATGAATATGCAAGTTTGGGTGTTAGATATATCTGTGGTATAAATATGCTTTATTAGGATAATGTGAAAATAAGGTTTCTATCATATTATACCTGAAATTCTTTCTTAATTATTATATATTAGGCCCACAAATCTTCATAGTTCTAATTGAAACCCCAAATCTATTAAATTGTTTAAAAAATACCCTTTAAAAAATACCCTTTAAAAAATGCTCCACAATACACGACCTTAAAATTTTTCTTAATTTTTATTAGGCCCCCCAATCTTCATATTTCTAATTTACATCTCAAATCTAATAATTCCAACAGTTCAATCATACTGTGATAACAATTATGGATAGAATCCAACAACCTGAGGGTGTTATTTAAGACAAGTTAATAGATCTGAGGGCGTAGTTTAGAAATATGAAGACTTGGGGTCTCCCTATGAAAGTAATAAAGACTTTAGGGTCTAATATGATGAAAACCTGAAAAATAAATGCATAATGGATGGTGTGCTGCTTAAACTGAAGCAAGATGATAGAGAATGAATATGACGGCTTTTGTACATCAAAGACCAGGAAAGCCTTACAGGGAGACTTAGCCTCAGGAACCACGGTATCTTGGATGAAAAATCTTTAAAAAAGAAAATTCATTTGATACATTGTCTCATCCGAGGTTTGAGAACCCAGTTTTAATATCGGTTCAGACACTTGAATGTATATATAGGTTTTGATCGGTTATTTATTTTGAAGTTTCAGGAGGTTTTCATTACGTTTCATTTTTTATCCCAAACGCATATGTATATGCATTTGCACATTTCTCTATTCATCACTTGATACATAAATAACACATGTCTAAACCTATCTATATTGTAATCATATCCATGGAGTGATTTGCGTTAGGTTAGCATTTATTGTGTTCTTATCCTTTTTAATGCTTTCTTTGATGTTTGTCATGTTATCTCCTTGGCATTTTCGTTGTCTGGATTTAGAAGTGTTGGTTTTGTACTTGCAGGGATTAGTTTCGATGAAGTTTTTTGATATGGCTGGAAAGAAGTATGCTTTGTACCTCTGGGAAGCGTTAGAAAAGGGTAAATCCACCATTCCACCGTGCAGTAAGCGCACATCATAAGCTGGAGTACTTGGAGAAAGAGCAGAGAGCCCTAGGGGCTTCTTCTGTAACATGGACTGTAGCTGCCCAGATCTTAAAGCCACCAGCGCGCTAGGGTCTTGAAGTATATGCTACTGCTTATTGCCTTGAAGTATACGCTACTGATTGTTCTGTACTCTGTTGTTCATCGGAGTGATGCCGGGAAGAAATGTTCAATATATTTACGAGACTCTTTGGTTCTTTCTCTCTCCTTTTGACATGCTACCAGTGTTTGCTATTCTGTCATAATTTCAATACTTGCATCCTTAACTCTGTTTTCGATGGTTGTTGCTTGACCCTGGTTGGGTCGAATACTTGGAAGCAGATAAAATATCACTTGCTCTGCAATATTATAAGGCCAGGTGCCAGTGTATTCTGAGTACAATTTCATGGAAAGACCTGTGCGTATACTAAGTACGAGTAGTATCAGAATGCTATTTGCATGACGAATTTTCATCTTCATAACAATTTGTTGGTGGTGATCCTTTTTGGTCTGATAATTTCGATCGAAAGTTGTGGGCAATCATCCTAGTTCTGCTACTTGTCTCTCAATTTATGTCACGTGATGGAATAGCTGCATTTTCTGATGGAAACCAAAAATGCGAGGATGATTTGGTACATAGACGGGAGAGGGACTCGATATGTTTTGCCGGTGCGTGCAAGCTGCGTCTGGGGACATAGGTTAAATAAAGCCAATTGGATTTCTCTTGAAGTGAGCATCTAGTGATTTTTGTCACTATATTATATTAATGATGCATCTGTTCAAAGATTATTCTTTCCTAGATGCATCGTTAATATGATATTGTGGACAAGAATAACTAGATACTCACTTCAAGAGAAATACAATGAACTATCAGAATAGTCCACATGGAGCAAACGGGTCGACCCGACCCATCTAAAAATTTGACCCGATCTTTGTAATATTTATCCGACCTGACTCATCAAATAATCGGGTTAACATGTTTATTTAACGGTCATCAAATAATCGGGTTAACATGTTTATTTAACAGGTTACCCATCGACCCTAGTGACCCATTTATTGGTTTTATATCAAAATCAACTCATTTCATGTACTTAACGTAAAGTCCGTGGTCAAAGTTTTTATGTTCATATTTGTCATTCGTAGGTTTTGTACTGTTTGTAAGTTTAGATATTTTTGGGGAGTTTTTTGTAAAATTTGAATTCAAGGGTGTTTATTGTAAATTTTAAAAGTCTTGGGTGTTTTCTGCAAATATTATTTTTTCAGGGGACTTTTTCTTATTTATAAAGTTGTACTCTCCGTAAGTTTGCCTTTTCATGTTTTTTAAAAGAAAATTTAGGGTGTTTTTTATAAATTTGTAGCTTTCAGGGTGTTTTCTGCAAATACCAAAATTTTCACATTGCTATTTGTAAGGCATAGATTTTATATTGTTTCTAAGTTTTGATATTTCTGGCGTGTACTTCTGTAAAATTTGACCATTTGAGGATATATTTTACAATTTTAAAACTTTCAGGGTGTTTTCTACAAATATCAAAAATTTCAAGGTGCTCTTTGTAATTGATGGATTTTTTACTGTTTGTAAATTTTTATGTTTGCACGGAGTGTTTCTGTAAAAGTTTGACTTTTGAGGCTGTATTTTGTAATTTTCTAAACTTTTAAGATGTTTTTATTACAAATTTTAAAAATTTCATGGTGCTTCTTATAACTCATAGATTTTATAATTTTTGTAACTTTTTATATTTCTAGGTCGTGCTTCTATAAAAGTTTGACTTTTTGAGCATGTATTTTGTAATTTTGAAAAGTTTAGGTTTTTTTTTGCAGAACTCAAAATTTTTAGTTGGTTTTTGAAATTTATAAATTATAAAATTTTCAGTGTTTGTAAGTTACAATTTTTCATTTTTTTAAAGTTTTGACTTATTCTTAGTGTTTTTTGCAACTTTTGAAGCTATCCAGATTTTTTTGCAAAGTTCAAAATTTTCATGGTACTATTTATAAGTTATAGATTGTGCATCGCTTGTAGATATTGATTTTTCTGGGTGTGTTTTTATAAATTTAACTAATTATTCTTTTACAACTTTTGAAACTATCAGGTTGTTTTCTGCATATCTTAAAATTTTTATGGTGTTGTTTATAAGTTATAGATTTTGTACTATTTTTAGTTTTTGATATTTCTGGGATGTGTTTTTGTAAATTTAAGCCACATCCAATAGTACATCTCTGGCTATTTACCCAAAATATTTCGATCATAGCTACAAATCGAAACGCAGAATCTTGCAAATTTTGGGCGATTCTTGTAGACGATCAAAATGTATTTTCACTTAGGCCAATGATTGGTTTGGATCCAAGAAGTGAATGTCCATGGGCTAAACACTTCAAATAGACCCAAAGTCAAGCCCACAACAAGCTGCAGCGAAGGTCGCCTATTGATTAAAGTGAACATCGCCAAACAGCCCATATCAATATGCTCGACCAAATCAAAAGCGAGTCGACTCCCAAAACGCGCCCCAGGCCGAGTCGAAAGGTGTCATCAATTGGTCAAACCTAGAGTCGAATTTTGTGTTAAATTCAACTCATGGGTGAAGTTCGCAAACTAATGAACTCTGCCTACGTCAACTCAAGTGGACCAAGTAATCCACTTTTGAAGAAGACTCACCCACGTCCACAATGAACCATCGCTCACGACTTTAGTGACATCTGCTCATGTCTTCAGCAAACTTCACTAAGCCCATGAAGCTCGTCAAATAGCCGTTTTAGGAGCTACTTTTGGGGAATAACTGATCCCCATTATCTCCTACTTTACTGACCACTTAATCCACAACTAAGGGGCTATTAACTATCTTTTGTAGCCTATAAAAGGAGGGGAGATCATTTATTCAAGGAGGATCCGAGAATTGAAAAAAAAAATCTAAGAAGGTCTGTCTATCTAAGATATCAAACTGAATCCTAGAGAGATCAACTCACATGTAGAGAGAGATTCTTATCATCACATTGGCGATTCAATCAAGTAAAAGTATCAAGAGAAGACTGAGCTATCTTCCAAACTATTAAGCTTGTACCCACATTAAAAGACCCTAAGTCTTAATCGGTGTAATAATGGAGTATAAGATCTACGCTTCATCGACACACTAGAAAAGAGCCCCCGGGAAAAATAATTTTTTTTTCCGATTTATTTTTATTTTTCTATTGTAATCTGAGATAATTACAACATTAAAAAAACTCGAAACACTAGAGATATTGAGAAATCCTACGAGCAGCTCTTTTAACTAGGCTTGAGTGACATAGCCAATGTGTCAGTCTTCAGCGGCCCAGGTGTTCAAAACCAGGCATCTTATGTAAAGAAGAAAGAACCGCTCCATGATGGGTGCCAAACTATTAATGTCAGTTATCTAATAGGGGATATTAGAATCCTCAATCTTCCTCAGATAGTTGGGCTTTGAGCAATGAATTCTATCGTGCACATGAACAACACGTGAGAAGGTCGGAGTTGGGATCTCCGGTGGTTCCTATGACAGTCAAGTAAGTCTTAAGCTTGAGTGGAGAGGAAAAATAAGAGTACATTGTCTTTTTTGCAAGAAGATTGCTTACCCTAAGCAGTAGACAATAGTTTCTCTTTATAGCAGATCCAAGGGGTAGATGAGTAACTTCGACCGAGTCCAAACAGGTGGCTAAGTCATCATCTACTTTATAGGCATCAGCTGCAGAGGGGGACGAGTCACCCAGATGTTTAATGTGATGATGATAGAGTATGCGTACTGCTGATGAGCTCCGATGAGTCATAAAGACTTTCAGTGCTGGAGAAATGATGACATTGATCATTCGTTTAATGTAATGGCAATTGACTGTCGGATGGAGGGTTGAGGATACCCAGCCTCTTGACTCTTCTCTCTGAGAGGATCAATAAGTGACGTCTTTCATCTCGATTTTGTGAGTGGGCCGATAAGTACTACCTTTTTTATCAGCCTCATAGGTTGTCGACCCGGCCTTGTGGAGTGAAGAGGAGTGGTGTCGACTTGAATGGTGAGTCAAGTGAGGACGCCTTTCGACTTGGCCCTACTTACGAATGGTCGAGTGGTGAAGCTATCAAATCATCCTTCCTATAGTATGGCTAATTAGATACTTAAGGTGGGGCACATGTTGGCTCCTTATCAAGGACTAACACTTAACTATTTGTAAGATATAACGAGACATATAATTGCAGATTTAAATTCTCAAACTATAGAAATGCTAATCATTCTCAAAAATATTGTTGGCATCACAAAAATAACAAAGTCCGATATACAAAAATAGCAACATATCACCTATTTTATCATGTTTTAATGCACAATTAGAAGAAAAAGATACTTGGTATTTGGATAGTGGATGCAGCAACTATATGACAAGAAATAAGAGAAGCTTTGTAGGGTTGAAGGATGGAGCAAACTCTCAAATAAAGCTTGGAGACGAAAAATTAAAAAAAATGTTGAAGGAAAGGGAGTGATAGCAGTCCAGGCTAAGGGAAGTAAGACTAAATACATCTCAGATGTTCTTTATGTTCTGGGGCTAACTCAAAATTTACTTGGTGTGAGATAATTAATCCAAAAAGGATATTCAGTCAATTTCTTTAAGAATGAATGTGTGATAATAGATGACAAGAATAAGCAAATAGTGGCCAGAATAAAAATGGCTCCTAACAAAGCTTTTTCTCTTAAAATGTCTATAGAGAACCATGCACTCAAAATAAGAGAAAATAATGATTCTCTACTATGGCATCAAAAGATATGGCCACTTAAATTTCAAAAACCTAAATTTGCTACAAATGAAGAATATGGTGATAGGACTCCCACACATAAATAAAGAAGAAAAAGTTTATGAATGATACATTTTTCCATAAAATGTGTCGCTTACCATTTACTAAAATATCTCAGAGAGCAAGAGCCCTGTTAAACTTAGTGCATGCTAATGTTTGTGGCCCGACTCAAACCCCATCATTAAATGGAAATATATATTTCTTATATTTGTTGATGATTATAGTAGAATGATGTGGGTATATTACTTAAAAGCAAAATCAGAAGTATTCTCAAAATTTATTAAGACTCTTGTAGAAAAGCAAAGTGGTCATGAATTAAAAGTTATAGGAACTGATCATGAAGGAGAGTTCACCTCCAATGAATTTTAAAATTTCTACAAAAATCATGGAATAAAAAATGAGCTAACAATAAGGTACACTCCACAACAAAATGAACTAGCAGACAGAAGAAAAATATCAATTATGGAGGTGGCTAGGAGCATGTTGAAAGGTAAAAATTTCCCAGATAAATTATAGGCTGAGGCGGTATATATATCAGTCTACATCTTAAATAGATCACCAACAAAAGCTGTGTTAGACAAGATGCCATATGAATCTTAAGAAAAAGGCGATAGTGGATTTGTTTAAAGTGTTCGGTTGTATCGCCTATGCACACAAACCAACACAACTAAGAAAAGAAAAGTT